GAGAAATAAAATGAAAATGCTCATTCACACAAATATGTGGTGAAAATGGCAGGAGAATTTTCTAAATTCTCTTGCTGAGAGATAGATTTTTTTATTTTAGCCAAATTTTATAAAGCTGTCGTTTTTAGGTGGTTTGCAGTTCAAAATCCACTGATATATCAATTAAATTTTTATTTTCATCCATTATCAATCCATCAGCCAGAAATGTCAAATGGGTTGCAGATACAATTTCATCATTGGAAATTTCAGGAAAATATTCATTGAAAGTCACTCTTAAAAATTTCACATAATCACTGACATCTTTCTGTACATCCTGATCCAAAGAGAGTTCATTTTCTAATCAGAAGTTACATAATGTCACAAAGCACTAAACATTGTTCTTAATTGTGTGCTTCCAAAATCTCAAGTTTCCACATCATACTTTGCCTTGGACACTTGGAAGATGTTTGTATTTGTGCCCTGTAATGATGTGTTGAGTTAGTTAATTACTGAAAAGATAGCTACTAAATAGACTGACCTTTGTAGACATGGCATATCACTCGTACACTAGCACAGGTGAAAAGGACCATCAGTGAAGAAGACAAATAACTTTTCTCAATTCAAAGAGATGACTCCTAATTCCATCATGGAAAAGGCATATCGCATCTGTGTATGCCACATGTGTAACATGCTTCCTGCATAAAATGGCAAGCAATCCACTTAGCTGGTCTTGCTTTTATAAAATTAAATATTTTGACAATATCAGCTAATATGCTTTTAAGTTGTTGTGACATGTTCTTTGATGCGAAAATTTGTTTTGTGTATTCAAGCATTTGAAAGCATTATTCCCCAAAGGGGTCCCTAGTCCTTATCATACTGCTGAAGGAGTGCAGGACACAAAAACGATTGAGCACTCCTATGTACAGTTTCCCTCCTACCCCTGTTTCCTCTAACTTGAGAGTTAAGAAAATTCCAAGGTCTTCGGGTTTTCAGGTCAGAGTATGATCGCAAGACTTAACCACAGACTGGGAAATTCCCGGCTTTAAGAGAAAGCCCAAGTGTCTTTTTCCTAGGCTAGGAATTGTCCCTGACCAGACTGGCTAGTAACTAGTGACATTTCAGCATCTCAAGGTCTCATTGGCTGAGGCGGGACAAACTCTAGATCAAATTAGGAATGCCTCCTTTCTCTACTTCTGGATCTCAGCTCTCCTTTGTAAAATAAAAGGGGAAGGAACTTGGGGTCTCATTCCTTTTTGGCCACCTTGCTGTGTGACAAGCGAGTCAAGTCACCTCCAGCTTAAGTTTTCTTTTATGTCATAAACGTGTTTTAACACATAGTAATTTATATTGTTTATGTTTACATACATAAGAACACTGTCACTCTAATAAATGATCTCTAAGTCCTTCTATCTCTCTCCTTTGCTCTGCTGGCCTCATTTCTAAGGGCAGATGCCAACTACTTCCCTAGCCTTTTGTGAGTGAGGCTGGGACATCTAGGACTTTGTCCAAGGTTGGTACTTGTGGTGAGACACACTGCTGACCTCCTGCCAGTAATCTCCCTGCCTAGAGCCTCAGAGCCCTCCCATCTATTTCCTAGAAGATCTGGGTGTAAGGAATACAGCAGCCACCCTGAGACTTGTTTGTGCTTTGTTCTCAAAGAAGACCATGACTTCAGGAAGGCGATGCCATGATTTGCAAGTGGACTAGATTGAAGTGAGGGAGGGTTGTACAAAGGGACAAAAGTCAGACTAAAGGAGGTTGAGAACTGAATAGGATATGATGAATAGTTTAGCTGTATAAGCCTTGGCTCAAAGGGCCAGTTACACAGTACTCTCTCCTGATTGGTGGAAATTCATTGCTCAATGTTTCATGCTGGTGTTGGAGGCAGGTAAAGTTGGTGAGAGTAGGAGAAAAGAAAGATCCCAGCTATTCTAGCTTCTAGCATGTAGAGAAAAGACAGGTAATTCCAACCTTTTTTCAGGTCCTGGTCTCACCAGCTCTGCCTTCTTCACAGAATTTTTCTCTCTTTAGAGACTTGCCCAATGTCACATAGGCAGTAGAGGTCAAAGTAGGATTTAAAGCTAGGTCCTAAGACTCTAAAGTCAGTATTCTTTCCACTGTTGTGCACAACTTGAGGTGATCGGTTGAAGGTTTGTTTGCTTGCTTGTAAGAATGAGGGAGCCTGGGAAAGGAATCAGAAGATTGTATGATTCTGTTTCCCCCTTCTCAGCTAATCTCCTTGAAAAAATCTTATACGATTGGTGCGTCTATTTCCTCTCCTCTCACTCTCTTCCAAACCCTCTCTAATCTGGCTTCCATCATTCAACTGAAACTTTTCTCCAAAGATACCAGTGATGTCTTTCCTTGCTAAATCTCATGTCCTCTTATCAATCCTCATTCTACTTCACTTTACATCATTTCTCAGTGTTGACCACCTTTTTCTCCAGCATTTCATCTGCTCTCTAGTTTTTCATGACCCTTTTTCCTGGTTCTCCTTCTATCAGTCTGAATATACCCTCTTGTTCACTTTCACTGGTTCTTCTAATAATCCATTGATTATTGGTGTCTCTCAAAGCTCTGTGCTGGACTTATTTCTCTTTTCTCTAAGCACTCTCTCACTTGGTGATCTCATAGGCTCTCAAGGGCTCAATTATCTCTGTGCTGCTGGTTTAAGCCAATTTGAGGTGCACAGCTCAGCAAGGTCAGTCAGCAAACACGTCTGGAAGTGAGCAAGACTTTAGGCTCCCGGCAGGCACCTGATTGGCTTCTGCCAGCAAACAGGCTTACTCTATGTCTGGTAAAGTAACTCATAGAAAACATACATATCAATCTCTGGGCCACTCTCACAAACAATAACAGTTGTTTGGCGTCTCACCTATGGTCAGAGTCATCAGAGGAAAAGAACCATTATTTCTCCACTGCGAAAGCTAATAAATAACTACTACATATAGATATTTAATCAAGACTTTTGGGAAGTAATGGGAGGGAGGGGTGGTGAAGAAGAGTAGAGGGAGCTGGAAGAAGAGGAGGAATTAAAGGAAGAAGAGGTACTCGAGGTTATTGTTGTTGTTGTTGTCCAATTGTTTCAGTTGTCTGACTCTTTATGATCCATCTGGGCTTTTCTTGGCAAAAATACTGGAATGGTTTGCCTTTTCCTTCTCTGAGGGAAGGGGGGTGGGGGGAGTCTTGCATGGACAGAGGAGAATTAGGTATGCCATAATTGTGTCCTGGCTAAGTTAGATCTTGCAGTGGAGTAGGGGGAAAGCATCATCAGTCATCACACTGACTGCTTCCCACTTGTGCGAAGGCACACTTGTGAGGGGACAGACAGCCCTGGAGGCACATAGGGGAAGTTCCCTAACCTAATGGTGCTGCCTATACATGGCTCTTCTTACAAGACTTGTGCTTGGGAGTGGGGGGATTTGTCCATGGATTGAGGGCTTGGGGAAGATGAGCAGGAAGAAGCAGGATGGTTGCCAGGAGTCTGAATTCACTGCCACCATTCAAGGACTGGGGGAAGGGCAGCTCTGGGGCTCACCAATGACCCACAGGATGGAGCTCCTCTTAGTCTCTAGTAGCTCTCTTCATCGTCAGTTTAATCCAAAAATATGCTTCAATCTAGATTCAGACTCTGTCAGTTCTTTCTCTGGATGTAGACAACATTTTCCATTATAGGTCCATCAGAATTCTCTCGGATCATTGCATTCCTGAGAATAGTAGAGTTTTTCACAGTTGATGATCATACAATATTGCTATTACTGCTTCTAGTGTTCTGCATCTGCTCACTTCATTTTACATCAGTTTATATGTCTTTCCAGGTTTTTCTGAAACTGTCTTTCTTGCACAATAGTATTCCATCACAATCATATACCATGACTTGTTCAGACATTCCCCAATTCATCATCCCCCAATTCAACTCAATTCCCAATTCTTTTCCACCACAAAAGTTGCTGCTATAAATATTTATTGCCTCCTTTACTAAGCTGTTCACTCTCTTTTCATGATTTTCTTACTTCCCTCCTATTTCCTTTTCCACTTTCCCCCCTACTTCTTGTATTTGATTTTTAAAATCCTTTTTGAACTCTTCTAGGAATTCTTCTTTGTGCTTATGACCAATTCACATTTTTCTTGGAAGCTTTGCTTGTGGCTGTTTTGACTTCATTATCTTCTTCTAGGTTTGTGTCTTGATCTTCCCTTTCACCATAGTAACTCTCTCTGGTCAGGTTCTTCTTTTTTTAATTTGCTCATTTTTCCAGCCTATCTCTTGACTTATAACTTTATTTTAAAGTTGGGCTCTGTAATGTGAAAATATGTTTAATAGGAACATATATATATAGCCTATGTCAGATTGCATGCCATCTTGGGGAGGGAGGCAGGGAGAGGGTAGAGAAAAATTTAAAACTCAAAATCTTATGGAAGTGGTTGTTGATAAATCAAAATTAATTAATTAGAAAATGAAAGAAAAAAAAGAAAACATCTCTAATTCCACATGACAAAATAAAATAAAATAAAATAAAGTTGGGCTCTGCTCCAGGGATGGAAGAAGGACTTTCCCAAGTTTTAGGCCTTTCTTGCTGGTGTTTTCAGAGCTAGTTCTGGAGGTCTGTAAGTTTTTAGTTTTTCCAAAGTGATATGATCTAAGAAGATATATAGTCACTGCCCCACCATCCTATACTATGGTCTGTGAGCAATCACAGGCCCTCTTCTCCACCTTGGAATGACCAGGGCCCCTGTACCCCTATAGCCATAAGGAGTTAATGCACCTCTTAGCTCTGGGACTGTGACTAAAACTGTGCATGGGCAATGCAACAGAGTACTGTACCCACTGCAGCAAAGGGTTCCCTGTAATCCCCTTCTAACTTCTTTACAATCTGTAGGTGGAGAGCTTCCAAAGCTGCTGCTGCTGCTGCTGCTGCTGCTGCTGTTGCTGCTGCTGCTGCTGCTGCTGCTGCTGCTGCTGATGATGATGATGATGATGATGATGATGATGATGATAATGATGGTGATGGTGATGGTGATGATGGTGATGGTGATGGTGATGATGATGATGATGATGATGATGATGATGGGTGATGGTGATGATGGTGATGGTGATGACGAAGAAGGTGAACTATCTCCAAGACCTGCTGTTGTCTTCTCTGGGCTCCAAGTCTGACCACCACCACTTGACACCTTTCCTACAACCCTTGTAAGTTGTACTGGGCTGGAAAATTGTTTCACCTTGACCATTTGTTGGTTCTGAGAATTGTTTAAAAGGAAATTTGGAAGAGCTCAGGTGAGTCTCCAACTTTACTGTGCCATCTAGGCTCTGCTCAATCCCTCTTCTCTTTTTGGGGGGTTTAAGATGGCCTTTCCTCCAGCTCCTCCTCACTGTCCTTACCCCATTTTAGGGTGAAGGGCTCAGGCAGTGCCTCAAGCTGAACACAGCAGGCAGATCTCCCTTCATTGCCTGACTATAGCACTTTGAAATCAGCAAAACAACTTTACTGACAACAATCTGGGCAGGTCCTAGTGCCCCTGCCCCTATACATTCCATCCCCCCACCCAACCTCCACCTGAGTCCTGGTCCCAGGTCTCTCATGATCCCACCAACTGCTCCCTACCCTTTGTCCTCACCTTGATCTAGTCTGATCACCCCGGCTAAAAATACCATTAAACTCCAAATTTTATGGAGAGCATAAAGTTAAAGGGATCTTAGAATCTCCTTTATTTTACAGAATAGGAAACTGATGACCAATAATGTTAAGAGATTTTTCTAAGGTCATAAAGATAGGAAGGGGCAAAATTGAAAGTTGAACCTCTATCCTATCATTCCTAATTCAATTGTTTTTCTACAAACACCATATTGGTCAACAGAAAGTGCTGAATATGCAGCCTCCTCTGGTTGAGGACACCTTAACAGGAATTGGAGACTTGAATATCCTTGTTTTCTTTCTCAGGTCCAGACTAGGTAATTGTCTTGAGTTGAAGAAAGAAAGATAGATTAAGGGAGATCTTCAATGTCACCTCTGCCTTAAAATCTTTCATCATTCTGAAGAACCTGACCCTCCACCAATCCAATCCTCACCCCAACCACTCACATACACACACTCTTTGCTTGGCTCCCTTTAAACCAACATCTCTCTAGTTCCAGAGTCCCCAGAGTTTCACCATTCTCTGTGAGGGAGACACCATTTCTAGGGCTGTATCCTAAAGAGATCATAAAAATGGTAAAAGGACCCACATGTACAAAAATATTTATAGCAGATTTTTTTGTGGTGGCAAAGAATTGGAAATTGAGAAGATGCCCATTAGTTGGGGAATGGCTGAACAAATTGTGTTATATGAATGTAATGGAATACTATTGTACTATAAGAAATGATGAGCAGGCAGACTTCAGAAAAGCCTGGAAAGACTTACATGAATTGAAGATGAGTGAAGTGAGTAGAACCAGGCGAACATTGTACAGGGTAACAACCACGCTGTGCGATGACTGATTTTGATAGACTTAGCTTTCCTCAGCAATGCAAGGATCTAAGACTCATGATAGAAAATCTACATCCAGAGAAAGAATTTAGGAGTCTGAATGCAAATGGAAGCATACTATTTGCTCTCCTTTTCTTTTGTTGTTGTTTTCTTTCTTCTTTCTCATGGTTACTCCCATTAGTTCTAATTTTTCTTTACATCATGACTAATGTGAAAATATGTTTAATGGAAATGTGTAAGTAGAGACAATATCAAATCGAATGCCATCTTGAGGAGTGGGGAGGAGACAGAGGAGGAGAATAATTAAAACTCAAAATCTTATGGAAGTGAATGTTGAAAACTAAAAATAAATAAAGTAATTATAAAAAATATTTTTCCAAAGTCATAAAGATAGAAAGGAACGAAATTGAGATTTGAACCTATATCCTATCATTTCTAATTCAATCCTCTTTCTATAAGACCATACTGGCCAAATGAATATGTGGCCTCTTCTGGTTGGGATACCTTAACAGGAATTGGAGACTTGAAAATCCTTGTTTTCTTTCTCAGGTCCACACAAGGCAACTGTCTCAAGCTGAAGAAAGAAAGACAGATGAAGGGAGATCTTGAAAGTCACCTCTGGCCTAAAGTCTTTCATCATTCTGAAGATGTTGACACCACCAATCCAGTCCTCACCCCAACCACTCACATACCCACACTCTTTCCTTGGCTCCCTTTAAACCAGATCCTCTCTAGTTCTGATACAGCTTTAGGGGTGCAGGGACCCCAAAATACTGAAGTTCAGGGCAGAGTTGTCTAGAAAGAATTCATAGACTCAAGTAGTCTTTAAATCAAGTGGCAAAAAGTTTATTATAACACTAAGAAAGGTAGGCAGAGCTCCTTTAGGAAACTCGAAACTTAACAGAAGTTAAGCTAAAGCTGCTATAGAAAAAATACAGTGAATTATGTGGCAAGTATGCTAATTGGGTGGTGAATATACAGTTTCTGTACCTTGGGCATTCACTACTGGTATGGTCTGGGCCAGTTTCTAAGAGGCCTATACATCTGTACTCTACCTCTGTACCAAGATAGCTTTGAGGGCTGATGTCAATGGCTTGACCTCTTAATTGTGTGCTGTGACTGTGGGAATCAGTTCTTCTAGCACAGGATAACTCTGTTTATACAAGGAAAATCTTAGAGGAATCAGACTGTCCTTGATAGATTGCTTCACTGGAGCCCACTTATGCTTTCTTGCCAGAGATAAGGTCCTTGAGCTGGGATATGTGATCCTAAAGCAGGGTTCCAAGCTCCCGATCACTTTCCCAGCCTCCATAATCTCACCATTCTCTGTGGGACAGACATCTGACCACTGTACACTGTCATTGTCTAGATACAAAGAAGGGAAACAACCCAGTCAGGGGCATATTTTACAGAACCATGGCAGGGGAAGGAAAGAGAACACTGAGGAAAGGCTGCTGGAGTAAGCCTCTCCTCTGACTTCTCATTTCTCGTGTCCCAAAGACACCATGGGCTGGCCCCTTCTTTCTACCCTCCATGTCAACTCTTAACTTACCTGCAGCCGAACATGGACCCCTCCTTGTCCACCTGGAAAAGAAGGGAAAATTCCAATGGGGAGTCCAGGAGAGGAGGCCATACTAAGGCCCCAGAAGGTCAGTGATTTGTCTTGAAGACACAACAAGTTACAATTGTGACTGTGCTCCCCTCCCCTACTTTCATCCAGCATCTAGATCCAACAGGAAAACAAAAAAGAGGCACCACAAATGGGCACTTCCCAACCTCAGGTCCTGCATCAATAGGTTTCCAAGTCTGCTCTACAACTCCCAGCTGGGCGACACCCAGTTCCTTTGGCAGAAATCCCCATATTCATTTCTGATGTGAGTCTGAGGAAGTTTCCCCACTCAGCAAACCTGTTATACCAATACAAGGCACGCTCCAGAAAATGTTTACTATTTACAGATTTGCGGACTATTTAACAGTCTCTTAGAAGGTGAAGAGAGAACTTGGGGACAGAAAGAAAAGCTGCCAGTTCAGGGGATGCCAGAATCTTCATGGTGCCTACTGCCTGATGACCCCCTTCCATCTTGCCTACCTGAATTCCTTTTCCTCCAGATCACAACTCCAGCAATGACTGCAATGAGGACAACAGCAATCCCCACAGTGATCCAGGTGGGTGAGGACTGTGGCTCTAAAACAGAAAAGGAAAATGAAAGGCCCTGATCCCTCTCTGGCCTGAGATTCATTAATCCCTTCCCCAACTCCCCCCAGTAGCTTCAGATCCTTCTTGCTCTTTTTGAAAGGATCACCTTTTCCCCAGCCTCTCCTCACTGTCCTTACCCCATTTCACTATGAGGGGCTCAGGAAGTCCCTCATGCTGAACTAGGCAGATATATTTCTCTTCCTGGCCCAAGGTGATCTCCACGGCTGCCCACTTCTGGAAAGTCCCATCTCCAGCAGGCCTGGTCTCAATGAATTCCATGTCCTGGAGCTGTTCCTCCCCATCCCTCAGCCAAGTCAGGGAAATCTCTGAAGGGTAAAAGTTCTGGGCCCTACACCTAAGGGTCACCTTTCCATCCAGGGCAGTGTGACAAGTCACTCGAACAGAGGGAGGGTCTATGGAGGAAAGGTCAGAGAAATTTATTCGGGCCTCCCTTCTTCAAAGGCTAAGGTCCACTACAGGGGAACAAAAATCAGACTAGATATTTGAGCAAGGACACAAATTCTTGGCCTGGGTAGCCCTTACCCCTGAGTTCACCTATGATTCCAGAGAAAGCTCCCGAGACAGTGAAGGAAACAAAGAAGTGTAGCCAACCCCATTTCAGAGAGAGAGATGCTTCACCCCATCTCCTTTGTTCATATACATGTTGGGACCAAGAAGGAGGCACATGTCAGGTGTAGAATTCCTCTGTCTGAAATTGGGGGAAAGAGGGAAATATAAGACATAGAGGGCTGAAGTGAGGTGGGGCTCCCCACTTCAATCTAGACTGGAATTGTAATGAAGGGGACAAATGCTTGGTTGTGCCAGAGAAACCATCTCATACCTTGTCAGGAGAGGATTTCTCTCCCTGAGGCAGCAGTTCTTCTGCTGTTCTTCCCTGAATCCCAAGCCAAGTCACAAACTGAATTGGGGCTACATTGATTTATTTCTATGGACAAAGATTCTGTCTCTTTGGATTTCCTCTGTCCTCTTCCCTCCCTTCCCAGCACCTCCACCAGCTTCAATTCTACAGACTCTAAGTCCCCTGGAAGGACCTAAAGGATAGGGTAAAAGGTCTCATGAGCCTCGTGGGACAAGCAAATTTACCCTGGGTTCGCCAAGCTCTACCCTCCATTCCCATCCCCACCCCGACGCAGCCCCGGGTTCAGATCCACCTAAAGGGGCCAACGAGTAGAGTTCCAGGCTCCAACCCTGCCCCCACTCCATCTCCTAGAATGTGTAGACTGGGGGAGAGAAGCCTAGCCATGAGCACCTAAACAAGCAATACCTGCCCTTAGCAGCGTCTCCTTCCCCAACTCCAGGTACTTGTGCAGCCACTCAACACACTTCTCCTCCAGATAAACTTTCTGTCTCTTGGCCATGCTGCGATCCTCCTCCCACTTGTACTTGGTGTTCAGAGCCGGGGGCACCAAAGCCGTCCAACTCAGCGTCTTCTGATCCGGAGAGATGTAGTCTTGCCCATCGTAGGCGAATTGCTCAAACCCACGCCTAAAGGTCCCGTTGGAATACGTCTCGCAGCCGACCAGGCGCTGATAGATGTGAACTTCTAACCAGCGCCCAGAATACTAGTTAGTCAGTCCACCCACACACTCAGCTGGACCCAAGTCCTCTCTGGCTTTAAGGGGTGGATCTGAGAGGTGGCCTCCAGGAGCGTGCATACGCCTTCGAGGCCTTCGAGATTCTCCTATCCCGCCCCTCCCCCCTCCCCCCATCTACTGAGTCTGAGAACCAGGCCTGAGTTGGCATAAGGAGAGATCCCGCTTATCATATGGCACTCACCTCCCTCGCTCTGATTGTAATAAACCTGCAGATTCTGCAGGCCTACTTCGAAAGTGTGCGCGGTCTCCCTGACGACACGTGAGTTCCTCTCCCAGTACCCCTGACCCATCTGGTCCATCCACGGCACCAAGGGCTCCTCCCTCTGACTCGAGCTGTCGCTGTCAAAGCGTACGAATTGTCGATCGTTCACGTAGCCTGCGGAAATGAACTTCGGCTTTTCGAGGCCAGGCAGAGCTATGGAAGTTTGGAAATACTTCAGGGAGTGAAATCCTAAGGACAAAAGACAGCGACCGTGATTCGAGGCTAGTAAACATCGTGCACTGCCCTCCCAGGGCCCGAAACCCGGCCCAGCCTCGGTAGCAAAGGCTGAGGTGTCCCGAGCAAACTCACTCCAGTTTGGCGTCCTTCCAGCTGCCGCCGCAGCCTTTTCCCCTCATTTCTCCCTCGTTTCCTCAACCAGCCCATGATTCTTATGTCTCTGCTCTCTCTCGATTCTCCTGTAATTTCTCCCAATACCAGACTCAAACTACACCTCCTTGTTTCACCCAGTAATATTCATGTTTATATAACTTATCTAAATGTTCAAAATTCCTCACAACTACCTTGAGATAGCTTCTCTTTCCCGTGAACCCCTTCCTAGCCCCTAAATGTGACTCCATCTTCTGCATCCCTCACCTGTACTTTACTTCCCAGGTACCTTCCCCTGGTCCTCCTGTCTCCAGTCTTTCCCTACCCACACCCTTCAATACTCAAAGACCCCCTGCTCCACTCTGCTAGCCAGCCTTGCCTCCAACTTCCCCAGGAATGCTTTCCCCAGGTCTTCAACCCTTCACCTCTACCTCAACTACATGTTCTGAACACTCCCAAAATAAAAGGCAGTACATCTAGGCCCCCCCCCCAGCCAGGTACTACGAAGATTTAAGTAAGCACATTAACTGTCTCCTTTGTTTCCATGATCATCACCACCTACTGGTTAGAACAAATTGAACCTGGGGATTAGGAAATCTATCCCCTGGAGCCCAAAATGGGGATGTGGATGGGGATAGGGATGGGAAGAGTATAGGGAAAGACCCTCTTCACACCATAATCAGCCTCTGGTCAATCTGCCCAGTATCCAGGCATCAGTTTAATTCTATTAATGCTATTCATCTATAAAATGAGCTGGAGAAGAAAATGGAAAATCACTCCAGTATCTTTGCCAAGAAAACCCCAAATGGGCTCAGGAAGAGTCTGACACAACTGAAAAACAACTGAACAACAACCTTCTTGACTCACCTGCTTTGGTCTCTGGCAGGGCCACAGCCACCAGCAAAAAGAAGAGCACAAAAGTTTCCATGTTAGAGAAGTAGAGGCTCCATGTTAGAGAAGTAGCAGGTAAGTGAGCAGGAAATAGCAAGCAGTCTCTAACAAGCTGCAGGCCTGCCCCCAAATGGCAACCGGGGGCACCCAAACTTTTCATCCTGGACAGACGGAACATACAGCCAGGTAAAAGCAAAACTGAAATGAAGTTCTACTCATCCTATCTACTTTTTTTATTAGCTTCTGTGGAGCCCCTGAGCTTTCTATTTCTTCTAGGGACAGTGCCCTCCCCCCTTTAAACTAGAGTTCAAGGAGTATCCTAGAATCTAGCTCTGACCTTTCCACCTCCAGACTGCCTCATACTGACACTTCCCCACACATCTAGAAAGTATTCCCTCAGAGAAGTTAATCTCTTCATGAGTATAGTTTGCCTTTGGAGTCAGAGTGAAAGTTTCAAGAGGGACAACTTTAGCTGTTAAGCAGGGAGAAAAGTGGAGAGAAGAGACTAAAGGAAAGAGGGGTATGATATGGATATAGAAACCAGGGGCATGTTGACATACAAGCTGTGAGAAAGTATGTCAGAAAACCTGTGGACAGAAGAGGGGCCAGATATGATCAAATTGCCGCTACCACCACTGAACTACTTATTATAAAAAGTTATTATAAAAAACCTGATATTTTAATGAAGTTGGGATGCTTCTCTGAGCTGGAAAAGGGGAAAAAACACTTTAGTTCAGCAAACAAATTAGACACCTAACAAGTTAGGATGTTTAAATAGCTAACTTCTGAGGAAGAACCAGATAGTTAAGACTTAGGGAATGGCTAAGGAATGACACCCCCTATATGAGGAAAGAGGGGTGGAGCAGGTGGAGAGGAGGGAATTTGAAATAGTGGATAGAGAGTTGTCATTGAAGCCAGAAAGATCTGGACTGAAGTGCCATTTTTTGAGGCAGCTGAGCTATGTTATTCTTAGGACAGAGATATTAACCCCAGTTCAAGCCTAGCAGTGACTATGTATTGTCTGCCCAGGTCCCACCAGGCCACAGGAGCATCTGAGGCAAAGAATGACCAAGCTCCCCCCCTCCATCCCTCCAGCCACATTCACTCCTTTCCCTCCCTCCTTCCTGCCCCCTTTCCTTCACCTCTCCCCAGTTTTCTCCTGCATCCTCTCAATTCCCTTGTCACTCCTCCCAATTTCAGACTCTACCCAAACACCCCTTTTGGAGACATTCTCCTCCCCGTGGATCTCCTGCTCCATCCAATAATAATTACATTTATATTATGCAAGTCATTTAACTTCTCAGTGTTCTCTTGTCCATCCTCTAAGGGTCTAGAAGTTGTGAAGGTGTTGACTTGAACTAGCAGAGGGAGTTTCCTTCCTCAGGAGTTCCCTATACCAACTAAATTACAGGTATAGTCCTTATCTCTGTCCCCTACCCCATATCAGCTTTGAAGAAGAGCAATTGGACCAATAAGAAACATTGCATACAGTGAGAAGCAGAGACACATTCTCCAGACAGAAACAGTCAGAGAGAGATAATCATCCAAAGAAGAAAGCAGCTTCAAGGAATATGACCCAGGCAATTAAGAGTTGGGCTATGGAAAGAAGTATGAGCACTCTATGAAAAAAGTAAGGCTTTCCAATAGGCTCTATAGTACTAGGAGTTGTGATTTGCTCTTGCCATAAGTGAATCAGGGTACAAGTACACCACTACTACTCAAGCATTTCCACCAAGCCATGACCTTGGGAAGGTATTTTAGGAAGGGAGGTGGTGTCTGTTCTCACAAATTCTCTTGACAACAAGAATAAGAAAAGTTGTAGCACATGATAAGTGTGCCTACAAGACACACATCAGAGGAGCAGAATCTGGAGAAGGCAGATTTGTGTTGCATTGTTATTTTGCCAGTTCTTTTGGTAGAATGGCTCTCAACTGACACATAGACTTCTCTGGTCTTTTTTTTCTGACTCCAGGCTTCATGCTCTTATCTCACTATTTTTGATTTGGAATTCCTAGAAACTCGTTCCTAACCCATGCTCTCCTCTAGCTCAAGATTTAACTGTATCCTAATACATTTTTTGCACAGAAGGAATTTTCCCTCATGTCCAGTGATTGCCTTCACAACTGGCACACATCAGCCCTTTATTGGGGATCTACCAGATGGTGAATCAAACTTGCCTTCATTGTGACAACATATCTGGCCCTGCTCCTATTCTCTTTCCCTATGCTCCCTATGTCCCTGCTAGTCTACTAGGGACTAAAAGCATTCCTGTCACTTCTGTGTCTCTAAGAGCTCCTGGTTAAAGTAATATTTTGATCCTTTGCCAGGAGCAGTAGTGGACAAAGTTTTTGTTGTTATTCAATCCTGTCAGACTCCATTTGGGAGGTTTTTTTTTGACAAAGATACTGGAGTGGTTTGCCATTTCCTTGTTTAGCTGATTTTACACATATGGAAACTGAGACAAATAGGGTTAAATGACTTGGCTAGTGTTCTATTCACCACGCCACCTGGCTGCCCACCACTTCTCCTATGTTTCACTTTACTTGAAATTAAGCAGTGTATTCTCTGGAAAGTAACTCTGGGCTGATGGTGGAGGAGCTCTCTGTAGTAGAGGCCCTCCCCACCCACATATCTACCCCTAGAATGTCTGTCTAGTCTCCAGGCACTCATTTAATACTATTCTCTACTTACCTGCCCAGGTCTTGGTCAAGGCCAGAGTCCCCAACAAAAAGAGAGAGAGTATATCAGGTCCCATGGTCAGAACACAAATGAAGCACAAGGTCTCTGAAATCAATACACACTGCATTTTAAAGGGGTGGATCCTTAACCTCTGATTGGCTTACAGAGACTCTGCCATCCAATAGCAAATGTAAGACAAAAAAAGTCATTGGTGAATGGGCAGAATGAACACATACAGGTTAGGAACTGACACGGAAAATTCTCAACTTTATAGACATTTCATCTCTCTGTGTTATACAGGGAATAGAATCTAACTGTACCTAGCACCTGAGTCTCCCTCCCTCCCATCATTCAGGAACCACAGCATTTATGCTCCCAGCTTGAACCAGAGAGTTAATGAGAAATAAGGTCCCAGCCTTCAACCCGTTTCCCAACTTCCTCTGTCGTCTGATGGCCTTCCTATTTCCAGCCCTGCTCAGTGTGACCCTTTCCCCTTCTTGGAAGTTAGAAAGAAATTTTCCCCACAGAGAATTAAGAGCATCTGAGGGTTGAAGACACCCATAGACCAATTTGAGGAGAACTGTGTTGCCACCTCTTTTTTAATGACATCCATCCCAGCTGTGACTCCAACAAGTCTTGTAACCTCTCCTGGACCTGTAGATAACCAAGCAAGGGATAAAGAATAAGGAACAAATCAGAGTCCATTAACTGCAATTTGCACACAGGATACCTTTTACCTTGTCTCAAGGTAAAAGGAAAAGAGCTTAATTATTAAAGTAGGGAGGGGTAAGGGAAAGAGTATTGTTTCAGCAGAAGATTGTTTCTCAACTGCCTGAAATACGAAGGTGTGAATTCTCAGTAACCTCTTCATCAGAAACTCCTGAAACAAAGAACCCGGCCTGATTTTGTAGGATTTTTCTTCTTTCTTATCTTATCACCCCCATATCATTAAACTCCAAATTTTATGGAGAGCATAAAGTTAACACTGGAAAGGATCTTAGAGAGAATCTCCCTTAACTTACAGACTAGAAAAGCTGATGACCAATAATGTTAAGAGATTTTTCCAAGGTCATAAAGATAAGAAGGAGCAAAATTGAGATTTGAACCTATATCCTATCATTCCATATTCAATAATCCTTCTACAAAATCATGCAGGTCAAGAGAAAGTCCTGAATATGAGGCCTCCTCTGGCTGAGGACTCCTTAACCCTTCAATCATGGTGAAGTCAACACTACTTGGATAGGCCATAGAAGAGATGAATAATTTAGTTTCATATCATGTTCTGCTATCAGGCCATTCAGACCAAGTCTTATTCCATGTTTCTTCTTTTGATCTCAATGGAGCTTTAAAACATTTCTCCTAAAAATACCAACAAATCTTGTCATTTTCCACTGCACTTCCCTTCTCCATAACACAACTCTCTGGTTGTGAAAACAACAACTTTCTAGGGGAAATGTAGACAAGTCCTTAGATTTTTCCATTCTTTCAGGGACATCTCTCCTGTGAAAGATTAGGATGAAGTCTTCTCAGCCCTTCACTTTCTCAGATACTAACACTCTCCTCTCTCAGAATTGTCCATGTTCATTTTTTCCCCCCAAACTCTTATAAGAAGTAAGTCTGCGAGACCCTGCCTTGGTCAGGCCACATCTGGTATATTTTCAGTCTGGGGCATCACATTCTAGAAAAAGTGTGGACAAGCTAGAATGAATCCAGTAGACAAGGACCAAAATGGTGAGGAGACTCGAGAACATGCTATAGAGGATTGGTTGAAGGAATTGGGGATGTTTACCTAGGAGAGGAAAAGATCCTGACAGGATAAGAGGGTTGTCTTCAAGTATTTGAAGGATTGTTTGGAAACTGAATTAGATGAGTCCAAGAGAGCACAGCTAGGAACTGAGTGAACATTGCAGAGATGCTAATTTCACCTCCATGTAAGGAAACCTTCCTAAGGATTAGGTCTATCTAGAAGTGCAATGGGATACCCCACCAAGGAGTGGTCCTCAAGCAGAGACAAGATATAAAAGAGATTATTGTTCAGAAAGGAGCTGAAGTCGACACCTAAGGTACCTTGGAGCTCTTAGTCTATGATTCTGAGTTATCAGCCCCTATCATCAGTATCCATGCCTACAAGCGAAAATGTTGTTTTCTCTTCTCCCCAGTCCTTCGAATGGGAGAGGAAGGGCAAAGAAGAAAATGTCCTGTGGCCCAAAGCATACATCAGGCAGCTAAGTGGTGCAGTGGATAGGGTGGCACAAGTGAACAACAACAAAAAGCATACACATTCCTCTTGCTTAACACAATTTTTGTTGTTGTTGTTCGGTCACTTTTTAGTTGTGTCCAACCGTTAGTGACATACAGCTAGTAAATATCTGTGGCCAGCTCTCTCTAATTCCAGGGTCCCCAGGGTCTCACCTTTGGCTATGAGAAAGACATCTGGCCCCTGTGCACTGTAGTTGCCTGGAGACAAAGGAGGGAAACAACTCAGGTAGTGACATGTTCTACAGAAGTGGGGCAGGGGAAGGGAAGAGAACACCAATGAAAGGCTACGGGGGAAAGCCTCTCTGCCTTCTCATTTCTCAAGTCCAAAGATACCATGGGCTGGCCCTTCTTTCTACCCTCCATGTCAACCCTTCACTTACCTGCAGCCTAAACATAGTCCACTCCTTTTCCACCTGGAAAAGAAAAGAAAATTCCAGTGGGGAGGCTAGGAGAAGAGGCCATACTAAGGTCCCAGAAGTCCATTGATTTGTCCTGGAGACGCAACAAATTACAACTATGACTCTGCCCCCATCTCCCACTCCAGTCCAATATCTAGATCCAACAGGAAGAGAGAAAAGAGGCTCCACAAATGGGCCCTTCTCAACCTCAGGTCTTGCATCAGTAGGTTTCCAAGCCTAATCTACAACCCCCAGTTGGGAGACATCCAGTTCCTTTGCATAAATTCCCATAGTTCTCCATCCTGGGAGTCAGGAGGACCTGAGTTCAAATCTGGTCTCAGACACTTAACACTTACTAGCTGTGTGACCCTGGACAAGTCATTTAACTCTGACTGCCTCACCAAAAAGAAAAAAATCCTCATATTCATTTCTGATATGTCTGAAGCAGTTTCCCCATTCATCCAGAAAATGTTTTCTATTTACAAATTTGTCCACCTAGAGTCTTAGGGCCTAACAGTCTCTTAGACAAGAAAGAACTGGGGGACAGAAAGACAAGCAGCCAATTCAGGGGAAGCCAGGATCTCCACCATGCCTGCTCCCTAATGCGACCCCCTATCAGTCTTGCCTACCTGAATTCTTGTTCCTGCACATCACAACTTCAACAATGACTGCAGTGAGGAGGAGGACAGCAACATCAGTGATCACCACAATGATCCAGGTGGGTAAGGACTGTGGCTCTAAAATGGAAAAGGGAAATGAAAGGCCCTGATCCCTCTCTGGCCTGAGACTAGAGGGTAGGAGCTGAAGTGAGGCAAGGCTCCCCACCAGACTGGAATTGTAATGAAGGGGACAAATGCTTGGTTGTGCCAGAGAAACCATCTCATACATTGTCAGGAAAGGATTTCTCTCCCTGAGGCAGCAGTTCTTCTGCTGTTCTTCCCTGAATCCCAAGCCAAGTCACAAACTGAATTGGGGCTACATTGATTTATTTCTATGGACAAAGATTCTGTCTCTTTGGATTTCCTCTGTCCTCTTCCCTCCCTCCCCAGCAGCTCCACCGGCTTCAATTCTACAGACTCTAAGTCCCCTGGAAGGACCTAAAGGATAGGGTAAAAGGTCTCATGAGCCTCGTGGGACAAGCAAATTTACCCTGGGTTCGCCAAGCTCTACCGTCCATTCCCATCCCCACCCCCACGCAGCCCCGGGTTCAGATCCACCTAATGGGGCCGAGTTGAGTTCCAGGCTCCAACCTTGCCCCCACTCTATCTCCTAGGGTGTGTAGACTGGGGGAGAGAAGCCTAGCCGTGAGCACCTAAACAAGCAGTACCTGCCCTTAGCAGTGTCTCCTTCCCCAACTCCAGGTACTTGTGCAGCCGCTCAACACACTTCTCCTCCAGATAAACTTTCTGTCTCTTGGCCATGCTGCGCTACTCCTCCCACTTGTACTTGGTGTTCAGAGCTGGGGCTCTGTGGGGGTCCAACTCAGCCTCTCTGTCTCCAGGGAGATGTAGTCTTGCCTATTGGAGAACCCACACCTGAAGGTCCCATCATAAGACGTCTTGCAGCTGACCAGGGATTAATAGGTGTGAACTTTTAACCAGCCCCCAGAATACTAGTTAGTCCGCCCACACACTCAGCTGGACCCAAGTCCTCTCCCCACTTTAAGGGATGGATCTGAGAGGTGGCCTCCTTTCCGCAAAGATGGAAGTTTGGAAATACTTCAGGAAGTGAAATCCTAAGGACAAAGAAGTCGACCATGAGTCCAGGCTGGTAACGATCATGCACTGTCTTCCCAGGGCCCGGGTGCCGGGCCCAGCCTCAGTAGCAAAGGCTGAGGTGTCCCGGGCAAACTCACTCCAGCCCGGCATCCTTCCACCTGCCGCTGCTGCAGCTTTTCCCACTCATTTCTCCCTCCTTTTCCCAACCAGCCCAGGATTCTTACGTCTCTGGTCCCTCTCGATTTCCCTGTAACTCCTCCCAATACCAGACTGAAACTACTCTTATTTTGGAAACACTCTCTTCTCTGTTGGCCCAGTAATATTTACTTACATTTATATAACGCATCTAAATGTTCAAAATTCCTCACAACTACCCTGAGATAGCTTCTCCTTCCTGTGAACCCCTTCCTATTCCCCAAATATGACTCCATCTTCTGCATCCCTCACTTCTACTCTACTTCCCAGATACCCTTCCCCCAGTCCTCCTGTCTCCAACCTTCCATTACTCACCTCCTCCCCTCACCCTCTCCTTTCCTTCCTAAGTATGACACTCCCCCTTGCATACAGAAGACCCTCCCTCAACTTTACTATCCAGCCTTGTCCCCAGATTCTCCAGGAATGTTTTCCCCAGGACTTCAAACTCCTTATCTCTACCTCAACTACTTATTCTGAACACTCCCAAAATAAGAGGCAGGACATCTAGACCTCCCCCAGCCAGGTACTACTAAGACCCTAAGTAAGCAAACTTACTCAGTGATGCATTCCTTCCACTATCACTACCGCCTCTCCCTGGTTAGAACAAATTGAACCTGAGGATTAGTAAATCTTTCCGCAGGACCCCAAGACTGGGATGGGCATGGGGATGGGGATGTAGATGGTGAAAATCATTTAAGATTATTTGAGCCCCAATAAGTTTGGCCCTTATTTGGCCTGAACTAATCAACCAGAAAAAGCACCCCAACATAACAGACATTCTTTTATTTTGTTCTCTGAGTGAACTCAAAATGCCCCTTCCTGTGTCAGCAACTACAGGAGGAGATGAAGCTGACCAGCATTCTTCTGTGTATGACCACTAAGGCACCTTAACCTGGACACTACCTTGAATTATGGGACTTTTCTTACCTTAGTATTTTATGAACATATACTATGCTATGTCATGTTAATGGTAAAAGAAACACAGATACCCAGGATCTATAATTTCAATTGACACTTTCTTACTTGTCTTGTCTTATTGTATTTACAACCTATTCAATTAAGAAAATTCCTTTCTCATGCCATGGCTAAACATATATGGAGACCATAAATCTGAGTAACACAGACATCCTAAGTCAGGGTTTAAATGGCCTCCTAAAATTGCTTGATTCAGTCATAGTTAAAGCTCTGGCTCCATGTACATCTTGCTAACTTAAGGGAATAAACAATATGAATCTACTTGTCACCTAACTTGTTTCCACTTTAACCAACTTTCAGATCCACAGTTATGGTGCCAATGACTTCAGATGGAACTGAAAGATTAGGAGAAAACAACACCCCATCCTGGCAATGCTAGTGGCTTGGGTGCCTCAGGATCCTTTTTTTTTCCTGGAGTTCTAACCTTGATGGGGTAGGGTAAGTTCTCCTATTTCCAGCATCCGTGGGCCTCCCACTAGTTTGGTTGAAGTAAAAAAAAAAATCCCTTTAAGCTAGCTCTGGAGTCAGGGATCAAATTGAGGTTCAATTGCTCTGTAGCAGTTGGATCCCCTCAGGTAAGGAAAATTAGCTATGGGTCAATCAGAAACTAAAATTAGAAATCCCAATAACAAGACAGTCACCTCTTATATGTCAAGCTATTACCAATCTGATGATCACAAATACTGTCAGTGCTAGTGTCAGTTAACTAAAGATAGCCCTAAATTATGTTGGCCGTGAAGGGGTTCTTTTGACTAGTCAAAGTTATTTTATCTTAAAACCAAATTAAGTTTAGACAAAACATCTAGCCAGGAGTGGGAATGTTTTCATCGTTGGGTTGCTGAGATGGCTGAGCTAGAAGGAAAGGCAGAAGCCTCTTCCCTCAAGGCTCACAAAGCCGCTTCAGCACTCTTTCCTAGGTTCCTCATAATCCCCTTTCCCTTAATGACTATGGTTCTGATGGAGACTCAGATCCCCGGACTTAACTTCATCAGGACTTACCCTTTTAAATGTGTAACCTCAGGGGCACTCTGAGGAAGGTTCACAGGATCTAGTTGCACTATCAGGTCTTGGATCCTTGCAAATTCCCCAATCCCCCTTCCTTGGAATAATAATAAATAGCCAATTCAGGTTGGGGGTTTCTAACTAGTCTCTAATTCCCCCTCTCCCTATCATTAATTGTGCTCTCTGTTTGTATTTGTCCTGTCCATTTGTCTGTCAGTGTGTGTCTCTGTGTCTGTGTCATGTGTGCTGTGAATGAGTCCATTACCTTGTAAGATTTAAAGTACAGGTAGTGGGGCAGCTAGGTGGCACAGTGGATAGAGCACCCGCCCTGAAGTCAGGAGGACCTGAGTTCAAATCTGGCCTCAGATCAAACACTTGACACTTACTAGCTGTGTGATCAAGTCATTTAACCCCAATTGCCTAATAAATAAATAAAGCGCATGCAGCCAGAGACTTCTACTGGCTGCAGCTAGGAAAACAACAAACCTATAAGACTCTTTTCTTTGTGAGTCTAGACCTGGACTGCCTAGAGCTACAGTGAAAAGTTAGATACAGCTAAAGACATCTTAGCAGATTCTGGAGGTTTTGAGATTAATCATTAAGAAGTTGGGAAATTGATCATTTTGAGACTATTGGAGAAAATTCCTTTGACTGGGAGTAATTCCAGGAGCTCACCCTCTGCTAAAACACCTCCCCAATCCTGATTCCTCAGCATTCTCCACTCCCTCCTCAGAGATAAGCATCTCAGTATGGGGATTGTAAAAGAGAAGAGAATTCTGGAGAATTGTAGGGAAAACTTAAATCAGCCTTCCCCATCTGGCAAAAGGAAGGGAGGGGTAGCTATCACAGACTAGCAGTAGCCCTAACATCCCTGTGCCCCTGGGTACCTTGCAGCCCACACCTCTAGGCAAGGCCTGGGAGTATCATCCAGGTTCAATACATTCTGCCCACCCTGCCCCAGCAGCGGCAAACGGCATCAGCCTCAGTAAATTCTGTGGCTGTGGGGAGGGGAGAGGTGGATGGGTCAGATCCACAATGAGATTCCCTAAGCCCTGCCACCAAGAATTATCACTACTGGGAAGGCCCTGGAATCAGCCACCCAAACCCCTGGCAAAGGCTGGCTCACCAATATGAGGTGAGAGCCCAGCCAGCCTCTGCTCTTGGTAAGCCTCACTTCTCTATTCCAGTTTTGGAATTTATGGCAAGCTATTTTATCTCTGTTTGCCCTGTTTCCTGATTTGTAAAGGGAAAAAGAATAATGGTTGTTGCTATGGGATTAAAATGATATAATGACTGTAAAATGCTTAACACAATGGTATATGTTAGACAACATTATTATCTCTCTAATTTAATATAATTGCTCCATGCCTGATAACTTTGAAGTGGTTTGTAAATACCAAAAGTAATAAGATCAATAATTTCTATACGTGATAATCTGGAAATGCAATTGATATCATCTGAAGTTTATCGTTTGTGTTATTACTATATTTCTAACTTGTACTGCATTTCTAAAACTCTCTTAGACTATAAAATTTGAGAGACCACTGTGAGGTAGAAATGGTGCATACGAATAGGTCTTTTTAAAGGATGTGATAAAAATGAGAGAGTTTGAAAAGTGTTAATATTTAACAAGGTATATTTGGTTATAAGCAGGTAACAATAATACTGATATTTACTATGATAGCTGATTTTTCATTTAAAATCTTGACTATTATAAAATATATGGCAGTTTAAAGTTATAGTTTCAACATATTAATGATGAGATGAATGATTCTCTGTGCAAAGTGATTTGGAAGTACATTCATCTAAATTGATAATGGGTTGTTTCGAAGTTTATTACTATTGGCAGAGTAGGGGGGGCAGAGCTAAGATGGCAGAGTGAAAGCAGTGACTTGCTTGAGCTCTCCCCCAAACCCTTCCAAATACTTATAAAAAAAAATGGCTGTAAACAAATTCTAAAGCAGTGGAACCCACAAAAAGACAGAGTAAAACAAATTTCCAGCCCATGACAATCTGGATGGTTGATCAGAAAGGTATATCGCCCTGGGCTGGGAGAGGAGCTCAGTTCGTAAAGCAAACCTGGAACAGGCCTCACAGGACTGAATCGGCAACAGCTGTGGTGGTTTCCAGGCTTCTCAACCCAGGAACACCAAAGACAACTTAGAAGGTCAGTGGGAAAAGTCTGTTTCTGCGGTGCTGAGAGAGAAGTAAAGTGGTCTCAGTTCCATTCCCCAAGCCTAGCCCGGGGCAGAGGCTGCCTCCTGAGCTTCCAGCCCACAGACTGAGGGGGAATCCAGTGGCTGATCAGAGGGAGGTTGCAGGGATCTTTTTGCCAGTGCTGAAGCAAGAAACTTTTGCTTTGCCCATGCTTGGATCTGGGTCACAGTTCTAATTTATAGGTCCCTATAAGTATCTCTGAAAACAGCTATACAAACCCCTGAACCTTGGGACAGTACATTCTCCACATTGGAAGCAGACTCTTATCTTAACAAAGAGTTTAAAACTCAAATAATTGGCCAGGATCATCAGCAAGCAGCAGCACAAAAAGAGTCAGACTATATTATCTTACTTTGGTGACAAAGAAGATCAAAACATACAACCAGAAGAAGACAACAAAGTCAAAGCTC